GCAAGTGTTGTTAACATATATACTCTTTGTTGGTTTGAAAATGTTTGGTTTAAGTACCTATAATTCAATAATTTGTTGTTTGTTGGTTTTAGATATGTAGAAAGTGTTGTTTGAGCAAATGTTTGGTTTCTACAGGTTAATCCTGAAGTGAGCTACGTGAATGTATTTGGATGTAAGCTCCCTATTGTTATGAGCATTTGGATGTACTGTATGAGGCTAATTGTATCAATGTGTTGTTGATTTGTTTTTTTTAGATGTGTAAATAAGAATTGTTTTTTTTTGTTTAATGGATTTGTAAAATTTGATTTGTTATTTAAGTCCATCTCTATCTGCATTATGTTGAAGGCAAAAAAGACATGTTGAAGGTACACTTTCGCAACGTGAAAGTTAAATTCGCGTTGCGATTTTTACGTTGCGAATTTGATTTTCGCGTTTCGAATTTGAATTTCACAACAATCGCAATGCGAATTTGACTTTTGCAACAATCGCAACAAAAAATCGCAACGTGAATTTGACTTTCGCGTTGTCAATTCAAGGAAATCACCTTAAAAAGATAATAGACAACAATCTGATAAGTGATAACAACTGAACAGATCATAGCAATGTTCAAATTCAAGTAACTAATGCATGTCTAACTGAAAATGTATGCATTCACACATAATACAACGTTTGCATTTAAAAATCACCTAAGTTAATAAGTCCCAAAAGGTGAAGCCGATTGTGATTGGGATTTTTTTATTGCGATTTTGATTTCCTTTTGCTTGGCACCATATGAACTTTAGATTTTGATGAGGATTCATATTTTGGTAGAGAAAAAGATGATTGTGATGGCACTGGTGATCCACAGGTCAACCTTGTATGACCACTTTCCTTGCACCGACTACATATCGATATCCTTTTCTCTTCACCCTTAGACGGTATACGATCGTGATTTTTTGGTCGGCCAGGTAGTTTGCTGTCCATTACTGGTGGAAAAACTGTTTGTAAGTCATCTGGTATGTCCCACTCAGAAGGATGTGGAATATGGTAGACAATCTCAGCATAAGTATGTCGATATACTTCTGTAGTGTAGCAATCCATAGCGTATGCGCTTGAATAATCTTGGTTTAGATGAAGAGCAACTTTTATAACATGGTCACATGGATAACCAGATGTTTGTCATTTCATATAACTATACGTCTTTGCATTTAGATCGATAAGCCCATTTAAGTTATTATCCAATACTTCAAACAAAGTGTTTGAACATGGTTCAACTCTCCATGACGTTGACTTCACAACACGTTTCGTTATCTTTGTTTTAGTCCATGGTGTAACACGACGTTCCAATGTTCCTGTAAATTTAAATAAATAATACTTACTAAAATATATAAATATGATAAGTTACGAATTTAAAGAAATAATACATGCATGGTTTCTTTTCTTGTAGTACCACTGTTGAATAGATGCTCGAAAAAACTCCATTAACATAGTAATGAGTAATTTTTCGGGAATGACGACTTAGAGCGTTGATTGATTATGCACTATTAGACGTCATGAAACTATATCTTGCTCCAAGTTGATGTACTCTTGACCATCTTTCAAACCCGACATCTTCTAGTGTTTGAGCACATTGAGGCAAAACACGTCTTAAACAATTTATATGCTTATTAAAATCCACTTCCCGATAAGCTTTTACAGCCTTCCAGTATATCCATTTGTGATTTTTTATACCAACAGACCTTGATTTTAGATTTTTGTACAAATGAACACCACAAAGTCCATGAAAAGCATCTGAGAAACACCTTCTAACAACGTTGTCAATTGAGTTTGCCTTATCGGATATGATTGTCAGATTGCTAATAGGACCTATATAATCCCTAAAATGTCCCATAAACCATATCCATGAATCAGAGGTTTCAGATTTGCCAACCCCGTAAGCTATTGGCAGTATCCTATTGTTAGCATCCATGGCTACTGCTAATAAGTTTACTCCAAGGTATTGACCTTTCAAATGTGCTCCGTCAACTATAATAACTGGGCGCATGCAAGTAATAAACGAACGAATCTACAAAATAATATATACAAGAAATATAATCATTTAAATGTGAAATGCATGTAACTAACAAAAATAAGTCAACAAAATTATATTGATTTACTAACCGCAGCACCAATGGCGATAAACAACAACTCAAAGCGTTCATCTCTATCTATTTTGATATGAGTTATCGACCCAGGATTTTTCAGCTTTAAATTGTGACAATAAGCCGACATTTGGGCAAACGATACTTCTGGGGACCCCCTCAACAATTCCAAGGCATAACATTTGGCTCTCCAAGCTTGAGAATATGAGATACTAATCTTGAACCGAGCATTCATGTCAGTCATAATTTCATGTCCCCGATATACCCTACCATTCAAAAACATTAACTCATCCAGAAAACCACCCAACACCTTTTTGTTTGCCTGTCTATGGTGAGGAAAAACTTGGGTTCTTGAACATGTATGTTTATCAATAAAAGTCCTAACTTGAAACATTTCGCAATATTTTATCCTCTTTGCAATCATATGCCATGTACAGTTTTTATCAATCATACACTTTGTTTTGAAACGATCTTTGCTTGATTTGTTAACTTTTAGTTGATAGCCATCTTCCACACATTTTGTATACAAAGCTATCTTCAAGTCTTTCTTTGTATCAAAACAATCATATTTCTTAATAACTTTTGTGTAACAATCAACTGCTATCTTTACCAACTCTTCTTCCGGTATTTGAAGTAATTCTGGCATATTCCAATTATACTCTCATGGCATTTTCTTCTTTTTCTTTTCTTCGGGGACTTTTTCTTCTTCTTTTTCTTCTTCAGGGTTATATGAATTACAGAATGGATGTTCAACATGTTCATTCATAGTCGTAACTTCCTCCTCATTATTATCAACAACATCTTCCTCGGCAGCGGCTGTTTCATCATCAAAATTCGGGTATTGACCAATATCAAAATCATTACACGCAGGGTCTGTTTCTTCTTCTGAAACATCATCAAAATCCGAGTATTGACCAAGATCAAAGTCCGGGTATTGACCAAGATCAAATTTTGAATACTGACTAGTACTCACAATTTTTTCTGTTGGCTCATAATCGTTTAACTGGTCAATACGAAAATGGGAATTTGGTGCTGAAAGTTGATTGGGATTTGGATTAGGAAAAGGTTTTGTGTTTTGAGATTGTGTTTGGTATTGGAAATGTGGTGAAACAAAATTTTCTTGGTGATGAAATTATGGTGGAACAATTAAATTTTGAGGTTCATAACAATGTTGTACATTGTGAGCACCATAAATTGGGGTTGAAGAACTTAGTTGATTACTACCCGCTACTGACCCAACTTCACTACTTCTAGGTTCAACAACATACAATGTAACACCATCTTCTTGCGAAACACTAATGTAAGCAATGAATCGTTCAACATCTTCATTGTCGGTTAACAAATAAACTTTATCTTTTCTCTAATAAGATAGCCTAAATCCACTTAGAGGCTCTAAATTCTAAATTCAATTTCTTTGCAACACGTAACATTAGAGTTTCATAAGTTAACTTTTTTAATGACAGTTTTAGTTGAAGATTCATGGGTAAAGGCATATATTGTAAAACACCATGAACATTCTCCCATGACCTTCCAAAACACAAATATATCCAAACATGATCAACATTAGATGATTCCATTCTACAAATTATAAATTAATTTATTAAACAAACGAGCCATAAACTATATATCATATCACTAACTTAGAGAAAAACATACCTTTATTAAGTTGATAGTTGATAATTTGGGAGAGAAATCATTGAAAAATTATATAGAAATAAAATTATGTAAAAAAAAAAATTAGAGATGGAGAATGATGTCGTTGGATATAGGAACGGATGTCGCCGGAGAGAATGATAGATGGAGATGGAATGAGTTGCGATTTAGGGATTTAGGTTGAGTTGCTGCTGCTGTGTAGTTATATACCCAAAATATTTGTGTTGAGAAAATAAAATCTGGTGCGAAATTAAAATTCGCGTTGCGAATTTGGAAATCGCGTTGCGAATTTGGAATTCGTGTTGCGATTTTGGAAAATCGAGTTGCGAATTTGGAAGCTGTGTTACGAAATTGGAGTTCGCGTTACGAATTCGAGATCGCGTTGCGAATTTGTTGGTCATTTTCGCAAATCCAAAAAAAATAGTTAAAATCCTATATTATAAGACATTTTCGGTCACTGAAGTTATTTTCTCTTGTTAGAAACTTACCAACTCACATCTACATTCTTCCCTGTATTTGTCATGCTATGCATGTTATCTAGTTAATCTCTATACCTAGCATGCTCTTTGGTTATTTTTTACATTTAGATATCACATTGAGTTGTATAATTTATTCTCCGATTGTATGTTTCCTTTCGGATGGACTTATACTCTGGAGTCGAATTCGAAATAGATTAGAGAGTTTATATATATATATATATATATATATATATATATATATATATATATATTACTCTTTTATAATGTGTTTACCAGTTTATGGTTTTAGACTGTTTAAATTGAAATTTATTGTTTGCTTCAAATTGAGCACTCTCATAATTTAAACAGATCTCAAAGTTTACAAGCAGTGGTGGAAGATAATGAAGACTAGTGGGGATCATGACCTCTCAAAATTTTTAAAAATTATAGTTTAAACCTTTAAAGTTTTTAAAATATTTAATTTGGTTTCCAAAAAAAAATTAAAAATTCATATTAACTTTTAATTTTTTTAAATATTCTTAATTAAATGTTTCTTATAATATTTTAAAAATTCTTATCAAGCCTGTCAAAAATTTAAAAATTTTAGTTATACCATACTTTTTTTTAGAAAAAAAATGTAAATTGAACCTTTCAAATTTTTTAAAATTTTAATTTAAATATCTAATTTTTTTTTAAATTTTAAGTTGACCATTCCGAATTCTATTACCAAATTTCGCCACTGTTTGCAAGCCTCACTGGATTACCTCATTCGGCTTCTCTGTTGCACCCACTGAAGTTTACCATCTCATGCAAAAGGCTAAAGCATTTCGTTGGGAAAATGGCCTGGCGCGTCGCAGGATCCCTTTCTCGCTCCGTCATGTCCGCCGTCAGAGCTCCACCGCTCCGCACCCCTCCGCCTTTGCCTCGCCTCCGCCCCTCGACTTCCTCTGCTCCCCGCCTTCAGTCACGTCGTCTCTCCTTCGCACCTTACAGGTATATTTGATTAGTCTTCTCTTTTGGCTCTTTAGTACATGGAAGTGTGAAACAGAAGAAAAGAGAAGTGAAATTGTTAATATCTCAGTCAACCCCGATTTTTATTGTAAATTTACTATCATTAACTGTAGGTGGAAAATTATTTGATGTCAAATTAATTTGAATACCATTCCTGTTGTATTTTGAATTTATTTATCACCCTCTTATTATATCGTTTATTGATTGGAAAGTATAGCAGTGAAATAATGATAAGTTTGAAAACGTGAATTTGAGATTTTGAGTACATATTTTATTTACAATATAAATTATGACAATGAAATTCATGCATTATGTAGAAATTAGCTAGGATTAAATATGCTTTTCCATTTGAAACAGATGAAACATCCCATAATCCTTGCATTACACTATTTTTAAAATCCAAGTTTTTGAAAATGCAGCCTAAATGTTTATTTAAGTATGAAATTAGAAAGGGTTCTTAAATTTTCAAGGCATTGTAGTTTATTGGGATTCATCAAGGTAGTAAGGGCCTCTTTTATATGAAAAATAACACTTGTTTGCTATTATTATTCTATTTGCTAAAGACATTTTGGATTTTCTTATTTTTGTTTCAGGAATTTGGGAGAACTGGGATGTGTCCAGTCCTTCTTGCCTCTGCATAGCTTGGTTTCTACGGCCCGTCTTTCTTCACATCTCACTGTTAAAGTGCGGGCTTGTTGTGAGCTGTCTCATGGTAACATCTGCTGTTCTTTTCAGGATTTATAGTAGTCTCTTTGTATGTCTTACTATATCTAGGGTACAAGGGGAAAAAATCGGAAGATATTTTTTCCGGATTCTTGTTATTTACATCTCTCGAATCATCTATAATTTTGAATCTGCAAAGTAGATAATTGGTTTTTCTATAATTGCTTTATAATTTGTGTTATATTTACCTAAAAAGACATAAATTAGGTAAATTTTCTAAATTTGGTTGGTGAGAAGGAATTGGGATTGATAGGGATGAATGGAAAAGATGGGTGATGCACTTGTCGACTTTTGATCAGATAAAGGAGAGAGAATAATACCACATTGTAGGTTCCTTTATTACTATTGTTTTACCCTTTGTTATGAAAGTATAGAAGAAATGTACTATAATCAAAGCTTTTTACAAGTAAATAGATAAAATTTAACTTTTTTTCTCTTTTAGTTTTAAATAAATCTTTAATATGTTGGTCATTGAGCGTTGCCACTGTCATAGGCAATTTGACAAAGGAAAGGGTCAAAATTGGGATTGATAGGGATGAATGGAAAAGATGGGTGATGCACTTGTCGACTTTTGATCAGATAAAGGAGAGAGAATAATACCACATTGTAGGTTCCTTTATTACTATTGTTTTACCCTTTGTTATGAAAGTATAGAAGAAATGTACTATAATCAAAGCTTTTTACAAGTAAATAGATAAAATTTAACTTTTTTTCTCTTTTAGTTTTAAATAAATCTTTAATATGTTGGTCATTGAGCGTTGCCACTGTCATAGGCAATTTGACAAAGGAAAGGGTCAAAAGACCTAACATTTCCTTGTTAAGTCAGTACGGAATGGTATTACCTAAATATGGTAGCAGCATAGGAGCAGTGATCTTGATATGTCCCTCCCCTTTTAGTGCTTTTTCTACAAAGCGACTATTATCCGACTTTAATTCATGTTTTATCATGCTTATCAGTATTAGATTTCTAACTGTATCACTGATTTTTTTCCTTACGTTAAACTATAAAAAAAGAAAAGAAAAATGTTTAGCTGATTACTTTAGCTGTTATAATATTTTATCCTTTGTATTCTGTAGAACGTTGTGCTGCTGGTTTAGTGATTTGTACCCTATTGAAATGATAGGAAGGTTTCTCAACTGAATCTCATGTTCATCTTACATTCTTTCATTGGTATTTACGGCAACTGATAATCACAAATAGTAGGCATCCAAAGGTTATTGAAATGCTTGTAGATTTTAATATGCCTTAAGCTAAAGTGTTCTCTAGTTAAGACATTGATATGTTAGGGTGGAAAAGTGTTTCTTAATTTTACTTTTGGTGATCACCCAAATCATTTTGCTAACTTGTCACGACTATGGGTAATTATTGTGCTTTTGGTTCTTGTTGAAGATTTCTGTCATCGACTAACGTTCTTTGCATGTGGAGAATTGACAGCAATAATTATTTGTTGGATGAACAACATTTGCTAGATAAGAAATAAATTGATATAACTTGAGGTGAACTGTTATATAACGCGATAAACCTTATGTGGATCATTAGTTGCGCCTCCATTGCAGGTACTTGAAAGGGCATGGATTAGCACAGCTAAGTGCAACAGCGAACTGAGGGAGTCTGATGCCAGTTTGTCCTGTGGGGATCATGGTTAGCTATTCTTAGTATAACAATCTCAATAAAAACATGTTATCTTTTATTCTACTGCCAGGAAAAACCTGCAATTTTCATTTTCATTTTATATGATCAACCTGTAGGCAGTTTAGTTGCTCTTATTGATCAATGACTTTGGTTTGTGATTACATTTTGCGATGCATGGTATTGATAGCTTTAACATAATTGTCATTTTCAATGGTATGATTTCACATAATCTCATGCTCATGCACTGATACACATAACAAATTCACTGTGGTTGCATGGATTAGTGCACATGTTGTGGGTATTGAGTTTTGGCCAGAACCAATGAGCACATGGGGTGCCTGTAATGATCAAAAGCAGTTCTTGTTGTTAGTTCATGCAAGCATGACCCGCTTTACCGACATGTTTGTGGAGCAATTACTGCTCCAACTTCGAGATTTGGTGGATTTCCAAAGGCCAAAACCGTCGGTCTTCCAGTCGGTGATGGCCCATGTGCATTAGTAACTTGGTTTCCTATTTCAAACTAACTTCTTCGTCCTCCATTACTCAGTTCCTTCTGTCAAAAGAAAATTTGACAGTGTTCGGTCTTTTTTTTGTACAAAGATGTAAACACAAGGTAAAAGGAAAGTGGCTGCAGATGTCGAAAGTCCAAATTTAAATCAATGGGCCAAGTCTCGTGATGTTATTTTCGAGTATTTTGTTAAAAATAAGGTTAAATTTTATTTGGTCACTCATCTATTATTTAGTGTTTGTTTTGGTCATACAATTATTTTTTTTAAATCGTATTTAATGTTATGTTTTGGTTTTGTTTTGATCACATGTCGTTGAAAAAATTGTGGTTATGTTAATGTGTCATAATAAGGTAATATCATGTTAGCATTAGAAAATAATTAAAAAATATCATGTTAGTGCCATTGTTAATTTTTTAAAGGTGAGTGACCAGAACAGAACTAAAACTTAATGTTAGGTATGATTTTTTTTTTTAAAATATCAAAACATAAATTAAGTAATAGGTGAATGACTAGTTTACCTTAAAATAAAAGGTAAACTACACGTTTAGTACCTAAATTATCAATTTTGTTTTGTTTTAGTACCCAAACTTTTATTTGTTTTAAAATTATACCTAACATTTACCTTTTGTTTTGTTTTAATACTTGTTAAAAACTTAAAGGATATGTTATAACATTACATTTTTTTGGATAAACAACATCATTCGTTATTTAACTATAATTTCACTTTTATTTTGGTCATTGAAGTTTAATTTTTTTATTTTAATTAATTAACTTTCAAATTACTCCTAATTTAATCAATTTAATTTTTAATTTTTTTTATTTTAATTATATATTAATAAAATAATAATAGAAAATGTCATGTCACAAAAACTATTAATAAAATAAATTAGGGTTATTAAAATATGGATAATTTGAAAGTTGAGTAGTTAATTTAAAAATTTGTAAACTTTAGTGATCAAAATAGGAGTGAGAAGATAGTTAAGTGATGAATGATATAATTTATCCATAAAAAATGTCCTCGGTAAGTTTTTAATGGCGGGGAATTAAAATGAAATAAAAAGTAAATGTTAGGCATGATTTTGAAATAAACTAAAATTTAGGTACTTGTCGTAATCGATTTTCACCCGATACGACTTTCTTGGGAAAAACAAACAAACAAATAAATAAATGGTTTTTAATGAAAAGAATGAGAGTCACCATCGACCTTTTTTGGGTTAGGTAGGTCGAATACCTAAAAATCGCCTTTTAAAAGAGTTTTTAAGAAAACATCATTTTAAAATATAAACCAATTTACGTATAACCAGAAATTCATTCTTTTTAGTAATAAAAAGGGATTCAGGGTCGGCTACGCGTGGGGAATGATAAGCACCCTCACAACGCCTAAAATTGGTACCCCATCGATTATAAGTTGTCTTTAGTAGTGGAAATCTAAGAATTCAAATATAAATTTAATTTACGATCCTATTATTCCAAATTCAATTACACAATTTTTATTTAACGAAAAATTCTAAGAAAAAATATAAAATATTCTAATATTTCCAATCGAAGAGAAAATAATCTCTAATAAGTTTAGGACAAATATTTCTCTTTTCAACTAAAATAATAAGAATATGATAATTCCTTCCAAAAACTCAATATTAAAATAATTTGATTCAACCAAAATGAATATAACTAAAGTAGGCATACTCATTTTTTTAAGGTTTTCTTAGTAGGGTATTTATTTATTTTAAAATATCAGAATAAGACATCTAGTTACTTTAAAATGTTCCTTTCTTAATATTCAAAAATAAATAAATACTACCCTTTAATCCAATTATGAAATCGGTCAAGTTAAGCTTATAAGGCTTTTATATATATTCATAGGACTAAAATGAAATGAACAGAAAATAAAGAGCAATAATTAAAGTACTAAATTTAATGAATTGAAAAAATAAAGGATAATGATAAAAAAATCCAAAATTGCAATTAAATAGTGACCAAGATGCAAAAATAAAAACTATAGCATCATATTCATAAATAAAAAAATAACCGAATTAATTAGTAACTAAAATGAAATAAAATATAAATTAGCATGAAAAAATTGAAAATAAAAATAAAGAAATAATATCGGTGACCAAACTAAAAATAGCCTAAACTGTGAGGGCTTATGGGTGATTAACCCACAAACTTGTGACTTAAATGTAAAAATATGCTAAAAGTCCAGAGACCTTAGCGTGATTTACCCCTAAAATTGAATTAAACCCTTCAGTGACCAAAACGTAAAATGCAAAAAACATAAGGGGACTTAAACTTGATTTAACCCTAAAATTAGTGACTAAAATGTTAAAAACGGGTGTAGACATCCGTTTTTGTCCGGATTTAAAAAAAATATTATTATTATTATTATTATTATTATTATTATTATTATTATTACTACTACTACCTAACATAATCAACTAAACCACTAAATAAATTAAATAAACCATACCCACTAAACCTAAAAAACATTTACCTACTCCACCACTACCCTTTACCACCACTAGAGGTCATGAGGCAATTGGAAAATTATAAATGAGAGGAGCTCCATTCGAACGTGGGAGGAAGAAAAAATAAATGGGGAGACCGAGCATTGGGTTTATGGATTAATAGCAGCTTTGGTCCTTATAGCTATGTAATCTCATATGCGTGTTCTTCAATATTTCGGGTAAATCACAGTTTGGTCCCTGCCCTCATAATATCACCGTGCTTTTCATTTCTTCGAGGTAAAATCATAGTTAAGCCCCTTTGTCTTTGTAATGTTATCATTTAAGTCATTGAATGAAATTATTTTCTCTTGATTCTATCCTCGAATTTTTCTTGTATTTCATTTTCGTCACTATTATTAGTTTTGCCTTATTTTCATTTTTTTACTTTTGAGATTATTATTTTAAATACTTTTCATTTTTAGTCATTATAATTTACGTTTTGACCTGGCTTTTTATAATGTTTGCATTACGATCCATTAGCATTTTTTTATATTCCTTTCATATGAATATATATAATGTCTTATATCACACAATTATGGGTGCTACTTGTATTTATTAATGTTATGTGCAGTATACTTTATATAGATATATATTATTTTATGTGTAATATTATATATGCTTAGTATGATATTTTTTTCCCACGTTGTGCATTTTATGTATATATGTGTAAACATTTATTTTCGTCCGGTGTTTTTTTTTATGTAGCATAATTTTCAATATAGCTTTTGAAAATATATAGTATATAGTTTTTAAAATAATTTTGAAAACATATAATTATGGTCTATTTTATAATTAATGTTTAGCCCTTGTAGTTTTTATTAATATTATTTTAGTCTCTTAAGTTCACATTTTTATTGTTTGAGTCCTTTAAAGGATTATTTTGTTATTTTAATCTTTCAAACCTCTGTTTTTGTTGTTTGGTACTTTAAATTTCTGTTTTTGCTATTTTAATTTTTTAAGTTCATGTTTTCAAGATTTCTTGTGTTAAAGGATTTTCTCTAATTAATTAATTCGAAGTAAATTAATCAATGTTCGATAAATGAATCATATTTTAACTTTATATTTGATTCATGGTTTTCACCATTACGATAACGTGTAAGTGACACAGTACCAATTTTGGGTATTGTGGGGGTGCTAATCCTTCCTCACACGTAACCGACTCTCGAACCCGTTTTAATCGAATCTTTGTAAACACATACCAACTTTTTGTCTTAAAAGCGATTTTGTTTAAAAATTGTTTTAAAAGACATTTTTAGGTATTCGACCTACCTAACATAAAGGTTGATGGCGACTCTATTCAAATTAATCCAAAATCACCGAATTTTCCAAATTAAAATTATAACTGTTTTTAAAACAACATTTAATTGTTCCACCTTAAAAATGGTTATGACAGCTTGACGACTCCGCTGGGGATTTTTTTAGAGAGTCAGACTGTAAGTCGTTTACACAATGTCGTTACGGTTTAAATTATGAGTTGAGTCTTTAGTTAACTTATAATCATTTTATTGAAGTTTTTAATTGCTTCATTATTTTTATTGTCATACTAACATTTGAATTTTTGCTTTCATATCTATCCAAGTTTTTTTCGAGAGGTTTCGTTTTTCTTTTGAGTCAAATGGTTGAATGTTCCTCCTCACACACATCAAGCGCATTTGCATAACATAAACTCTATACCCGAGCTCCGAATCCTTTCTAAGTGGGGGTGAAAGTAACGCATTCGTGAGAATTTATTCTCCGTGCGGCCTAGCAAGTAACCTTCGGGATTCATATACCTTATGTCTTCAAGGGAATTTATTCTCCGCATAGGCATAAGGGAATGTATCCCCTCGAATTGAACTCGTTCCACTCGAAACCTGTAATGGGTAAGGATCAAGGGTTTGGCAGCCCAAGGGGGAACCGACATCAAGGACAATTCGAGTACCTTTTTCCTCATAGAGCCAAAACCATGTATATAGTGAACCTTAGAACGATCACCCTAGGTATAGTTATACCAAACTTCTGTCCGTCAGTCGG